AAAAAAAAAAAAAAAGCTCAGGAAAAAAAAAAAAAGGACAGACTCATTCTTAAGCCTTTTCTTATCTTTACTGTCCCTTTTTGGTTCTTTGTTTGTCTTCTATTCATCTCTCTTCCCTGTGTTTATCACCTCCCCCTCTTCACTCTGCCTCTTTCTCAATGCGTACAAGTGGGCCGTTATGGCACATGGGGATGTGAGCAGCTCGCGCTCAGCTTCATCAACCTGGCGAGCCTTGTATGTGAGAGACATGGTGAAGGGGGAGTTTAAAGAAGAATGAGAAAAAAATGAATGGTTTCACCGTTTCAGTGTACCCCTCATCTTTCTTTGTCTTGTGTTCAGTGTACCCTCGTCTTTACCGTTTGTTTCACGAACTGTGCTCTTTCAGGTAACAGAGTTATGTTTGTCACAGCCCCTCGTTTCTTGTCCTTTTCTCGCTCTCTGCCTACGGTTTTCCGCGGCAGACGGGTAGGTGGGCACTTTCCGCTCAACCACACAAACGTGGAGAACCTTGCATTTTTAAATAATTTTTTCTATTGCATTGCCTGTTTATACTTCTTTTGTTTTATGTATGGTTTGTGATGCCTCGTAGATGAAATGAGAGAGAAGAGTTTGGGGTTTCTTGACAGTGCACACACACACACACACACACACACACACACACACACACACACACACACACACACACACACAAAACGACACAGATTCTGGTCTTGCTAGCTCTCTGTCTTGGCAGATTTGAGCGGCTAGGATCGGGCTTGTACGAGCGTGCTATTCTCTCTTTTTGTGGTTGGATATGTCTTGTTGGTTTTGTTGATTATACACGGCGGCCTAATTCTTTGCCCTGCTTTAGAGCATGGGTTGTTTGGATGTTTACAGGTGGCCATCAGCTCTCTTTGGGGGGAATGCATGTTTTGTGGGCCGGCGTGGAAGGCTTTCCCAGTTTTTTCGGACCCTTAGCAGGGGGGGGGGGGTTCAGTGCGTTCTTGTTGGAGGAGTCTTCTGTTTTAGGGAAGTTGTCGCTTATCTTCTTCCGCCTCTTTTCCTCTTTGGCAGTGACGGGAGTGTATAGTTTGAGATGAATGACGGGAATGGCAATGCTGTTTTTGGTAAATGAGTTTTGATTTTGTGGGCCGATGCCGAAGGCTCTCCAAGTTTTTTTCGGAGCTTTGAGGGGGTCGGGTCGCGGTGCCTTCTTGCTGGAGTAGTCTTCGGTCTTAGGTAAGTTGCCTTCTACCCTCCATCCCCTTATGGTTTGAAATATATATATATATATATATATATATATATTCAGCCTCCTGATGAGTCGGTGAAACTCCGACGAAACAGTTTGTCACAGCCCCTCGTTTGTTGTCCTCTTCTCTCTCTCTGCCTACGGTTTACCGGGCAGTTCTGTTTGTGACGATATATGTACATATATGTATATATATGTATATATTCGTTTGTTGTCCTCTTCTCCCTCTCTGCCTACGGTTTACCGGGCAGTTCTATTTGACGATATATATGTATATATATATGAGTCGGTGAAACTCCGACGAAACAGTTTGTCACAGCCCCTCGTTTGTTGTCCTCTTCTCCCTCTCTGCCTACGGTTTACCGGGCAGTTCTGTTTGACGATATATATGTATATGCGCAGGTGTGCTGCTTTGGCGGCAGACGGGTGTGTGGGCACTTGGCGCTGAACCACGCAAACGGGGCCAACCTTGCATTTTATTTTATTTGATTTTTTAACAGGTTCTTACGGCCCTGGCTCCATTTCCATTCTGGGGAGCATCAGTCCGGTTCCTATTCCACCGCCAAGTCAGAATAACAGGATACATCATAAGTGCTCACCCACGCTTCCTTCCGTCTGGCCGAAGGACCCCTGAGCAGCATTGATTACTCCCGCATCGAGGAGGATTGACTGTCAGCTTGCCTTACTTCCACACCTTCCCTCTCAGGTCCAGTACTGGATGTTGGACAGTATTATTTATCTGGATAAATATTAAATAATGAAGAGCAAGAAAGGTAAGAGAAGCTACGGCAGTTGCGGTCTCGGGATTCGCCCTCCAGTACTATGTGATGTGCGATGGATGTTGTCCTTCCTTCTGCTGGCTGGGATCTCTGCCTTCTCCACCCTGCTTCTGAGTTGTGCCAGTCTTTCCATCGTATGTGGCAGTCATTTATCTCTACCACTTTGCCCCTTGCAAGCCACACCTTAGTGAATTTTGCCTTCATTCTTCTCTGTTGCTCTTCCGTCATCTGCCATGTACTGTCTCGTCTTACGCCACT